ACTTTTGAAATTATTGGAAAAATTTAACCTGAAATTTTCTTTGGCCGTTAATATTGACGGTCAAATACTATTCCGTTAGAATCTCAACAAAAACTAGCTAATGTGGCATGCCACATCATTAAATAATAATATTTTAATTTTATAATTCAATTAAAATTAAAATTAACAAATTAAAGAAATCCTCTCTTATCTCAAAATCCCCAAACCCCAAACAAACCCTCAATTAAAAGTCGCCTCCATATCTAAACACCCATGGCAGCTTCATCTTTCACAGCGTCCAGCCGGCGGTGCACCGCAGCTTCAAAGGCTCCCCCATGGAGACCGCGTCGGAGACGACGAAGCAGTCAGGGATTTTTTAGATCATCCCCGGCCCCACGATCTGCCACTTCGACTTAGACCCCTGCGGGCTGTGGCTACTCGATGAAGAGATCGAGCCTCGAGACTTCTCCACTGTCGTGATGTGCAGGAGCACGAAGTCGCAGCTCTGGGCGATGGAGCTCGTCGACATCTCTCCTCGGCCGTCGCCTCGACCTCCATCATTGGTCTCTGCTTCGATTATCCTAATCTGGCTAGAGCCTAGTCGCGCTGTCGCCGCCGATGTTGCTTTGCCTCTTCTCTCTGCAGGCTGCTACTGAATGATACCAGTCACCAGTCGATGGTTGAGGGAGAACCGAGGGATCTGGTGGTTCGGGAAATGGGAAGAGCTCATATTCTTCTTCTCCTCCTCTTTTTGTTTGTGTGCGTAAAATTATAGGGAGGGTGGGTTTTTGAGGGTCAGAGGGATCGAGAGGGATGTGGATGGATTTTTGAATTGAAATGCAGACAGAATTAGAGAGATGTAGAAGGTCATCGGAGTTCCCTATTCTCCTACGACGGATTCGGACCGACTTGCCTCTGTCTGCTTCTTTGCCAATGACAAAAGAAAAATAGTGATTGAAATTTTTATTGAGGTTGAGCTTTCAAGAGTGTTATATTTCCATTTTATATTTTTTTCTAGTTTTTAAGAACTAAAGAATTGAAATAAAAATGACATGGAAGCAACATCACAGCCACTTCAGCGTTGAATGCTGAGTCATTGACGGAATAAATTTTTCACTGTTAATATTAATAGCCAACACAAGTTTTGGGCCAAATCTGTCAATTAATTTCGAAACTAGACCATAAACATCTTATTTGAAAAATGCGGCCAGAACTGTCACTTACGCTAAACTTCCGGCCAAACTAGGGTATTGATCCTTTTATTTTTTATGATTTTTTTTGTCAAACGAGCTCGCTTGTATTACCATGAAAATAATAGTTACATTAATCCGACTTTCGAGCAGTGCTCGGAAGTCAAAAACAACACCCCTAGTAGGAAACAAATCCAAGGCCATTTTTGGGCACCAAATGGGCCACCCTATTGTTCTGTCTACCTACAAACTTAACACTAAACCCTGAATGATCTTCTAAAAGTCGACGACTTCTTGAAAAATTGCTTCGGCCATCGTGTCCCTAGTGATACCCGCATTAACTTTGTCAATCACCACCTTGGCGTCACCAAAGAACTGGACATCGTGAAGACCTGCCTCCACACACAATGGAATTGCATCATGAGAGTCATCAACTCCACCAGCATTGGATCCATCATACCATTGTAGCTTGTTCCCGCAACCATTTAAACCACCTTGACCTCATCCCTAAGAAAAATAACCACCATGAGACTCATGAGAAATTGCCTCGTCAAACGAGCACAGGTTCCTTCCCGACAAGAGATTCGGCTCCCCAACTTGCACTACCGGAATGGTAGGCATCCCCCCCCCCCCCCCCAACACACACTAGTGGGAAGACTATCAATCCATTCTTGTACTTGAAAATTGAATGGCCTATCCAACGCACGGAATGTGTCCTACTGTCCCTCAAAGATCACCAAATTCCTAGACTTCTAAATTCGCAAGAGAAGACACAAGAGACAAATAACCATGGATGGGGAAGAGTCACGCTTCAAGAATCGACGAAAGAAGATAGCAAACGTTACACCTCGGAAGACTTTGAAGTCCCCCATCAATCCTGATACCCCCCCCCCATCACCACCACCACAATGCCACCGCCACTGGACATAAAAAGAATAAATGTTCTATAGTTTTTTCCTCCCTAAGCAGACCAGATAGCGAGGTAATACCGAGACCTTTTTCTAAATCAAAGCCTCCATTGTCGGGAGAGTACGTTGCAATAACTGCTAGGTAAAAAGTCAGAGTTTGGACTGAACCTCGAGTGCCCAAACTTTCATCCATAACACCCTATCAATAGGATCACACCCTGCTTTCATCCTACTAGATGCTCGACTCAGACACTCAGATAGTCTATATCCCAACTTCACGGCATACACCCCCGAGGGGTCATGCCTCCAAACCCATGCATCCTCACTTGGAATTCGCGGGATAGAGAAGAATCAAGAAGTTTGCAGAGTGGTGGACGAGGAAGGAAAAAAAAAGGCTTCAAAATTCATGAAGTGAGAGAATGAGATAAAACTAATTGGGAGGGGCTAGGGTGCTAACACTTTTTTTGTTAGTATGGTGATAACATTAGTTCCAACCAATTAGAACATTTCGTTTGGATGACTTTTCTATTTAAATGAGTTGACCACAATTAATGAGGGGAAGGGGAAGGAGGGGCACAATTGGTATTATGAAAAATTGGGGAAGGGAGGGGGACATGAACCAGACCACAACCTCTTCCAAGCATGCCACAAACCTCAAAGCATGTCATAACCTTCTCAAAGCATGTCACAACCACAAAGCATACCACAACTTCAAAGCATGCCACAACCTCACAAAGCATGCCACATGTCCACAAAACATGCCACAAGTTTATAAAACATGCCACAAGTAGTGGACTTGTTTGCAAATTTTAAAAAGTTTATGTACCAAAATGTAAGGAAAAAATTTCAGATACCAAAATGTAATTTTTATCGATATTTTTAGTACTCAAATGTAAAAAAATAATTTTATGTATTAAATATTAATATCTATTAAGTTTAGGTACCAAAACTGTAATTTGTAAATAAAACATGGAAAAGTAACGTGAATGGAAGGGAAGTGGAAGGGAGAAGGGTTAAAATACTATAATATCCTGAATGAATGTGTTAGTATGATGCTAATATTTAAGGGTGTTAGCACCCTATCCACTCTCAAGCTAATTGGGAGAGAGAAATATGTAATTAATATAATTTTTGTAACTTTCCATTTATTTAATTTAATAAAATGGTAATTAATAAATATTATCTTTTCTACATCCAATTTATGCTTAGTAATCACGATGGCTATTAAGAATTAGTAATCATTATAATCCTCCCTACTTGGGAGACATTGTGGTTTTGGGGAGAGTAGTTCGTGTGCATAACCATGTGGAGAGTAACTATATATAACTCAATCACTATCCGCTACATCAGCATCCCTTCTCTCTCCTTGAAATTTTTTATTTTTTTCCCCTTAATTTTTAACGGACTATTTTTCATTCGTTTTAAGTCGGAATTTAAATTTTTTTTGTACAGTTAGATCAAATTAATTGTGCTCTTCAAAATGATATTCACTTTGATATATTTTTGTAACAAAAAAATTTAGTCATTTTTTACCTATATATACCATATGGTATTGATTGGTATTAAATAAAAGCATATCATATGGTATGACAAATCTTACCATGGTGGTATGAACATACCAAGACTGTACGATGATTGAATACATGATAGTATGAGTATACTAACTGTCATTTTCGAATTCAACATTGTGTACCACAAGATACCACCCCATACTAGGGTGGTATTGTGTAATTTTGTCCTGTATTTTGTTCACTCAGAAATTTGTAAATTAAATAGATCATGATTAACTAGTTCATTCTGTGCAAAAAATTTCTAAAACGACTTAAAAACGAAGAAGATATTATATGGTATGCAGTTGATAACGAGAGGCAAGAAATTTTTTTCTAAAAAAATATTGAAAATGGATCTCATTTTGTAGAGCACAACTAACTCGTGCCATCTGTGCCAAAAAAATTGAAATCCTAGTTAAAACGAAGAAGATATGAGTCGATTAAGAAAACAAGAAAAAATAAAAATGTTTTTAATTCTCCACACTTAGATCTGGATTTTCTGATCCCACTTAAATCTAATGGTTGAGATTTTTTTACTTTTTGTTTTACAAAAGGTAGTCGTATATATTGATTAGAAAAATATAGTTACATCCTGGCATTTAACCAGGACATTAAATAAAAAAAGCGACTCGTAGTCGGGTACATATGGAGGGCCTTTCTAGTCACCAGATGAGCTAGCATATTACTACGTCGACCTACAAAACGCACCGAAAACTCAGTATGAAGCGCCAATCGTTGCACAATCTCCTCAATAAGGGTACCAATGCGACTATCACCAGTACTAGACCGTTTGATTTTCTCAATAGCCACCATAACATCACCTTCAAAACTAACGACCGTAATCCCCAACCCCAACCCCAGGCACCATCATATATTCATATAGCCTCTCGAAGGGTAAGCATTTCAGCCACCAAAGGATCAACAACGCTTGGAAATTGAACCCCGTTAGCCAAGAGGATCTCCCCTGCTTGGTCTAGGAGAACCATCCCTCTGACCGCATGAGACTCACGCTCAATCGCCCCATCCCACCTATAGACTATCGGGGAAGGGTATACCACCCCGACGACTGAATAGGAAGACTAGGCAACCACATACCCTTATCAACGGGCAAACTGACCCATTCCTGATACTGTTGGTGGAATTGGCGCATTAAAGTTGGGATCCCAAATTGCTTGTCCTCAAATACAACCCAGTTACGCGATCTCCAAATCTTGCACAGGAGGGCCGTGACAGCCATAAACAGCTGGGGTTGATGGATGATCGACATCCGCCTTTTCAGGAACAATGGAAAAGTGTGTCGAGGGGCCCCGACCAATATATTCGAGCTCCGCATCCCACAACACCCTCCCCACTAGACAGTACAGAAACAAAATGTTCCATTGTTTCCGATTCCGACCAACAAACCGAACATCTGGGATGGAGCAGCACTTCCTTCTCGATCAAAGCCTCCGTTGTACTTTTGTTGGCACATCAGTTTCTAAACCGGCAGTTTATAATTTCAGCCACGTCACCCATGCTCTCGGACTTGGGCTCCACCCAGCATGTTAGAAACTTGTGGATGATAACTGGATATGGCGATTTCTGGAGTAATTCTGCATCGCGCCGGTTAGTTCCTTCGGGCTTATTGGCTAAATTGAGCAGCTCGTGGGCATGGAGATTGGCTTCTCTACCTCGAACTGCCATCATTTTTACCTGCTAAAGCATAATTGTAGCCTCCCCTCTTCTCCCAGGCAAAAACCTTTATCTTCGCTTTCACTGTGGGCTTCAGCTACTTTCTCCACTGAAAGCTCTAATCAACCTGGAAGCAGCAATGGCGCCGACCTTCTTACATTGAGAGCGACAAGGAGAAAACTAAATCTCTCACTTATTGGAGTGACCCTGGTTCTTAATGGGTCATGGCCAGTCTGGTCCAGAACCGCCATTTTGGCCGAAGAGGAGTTAAAGCTTGAAAGATATACCGATCCCGAACAAGGGTTTACTCTGCTCAAGCCGCCTTCTTACGCCAAGGTGAAGGGAATTAGGGCGTTGCCATTTTGCCAAAACGATAATGCATTCATCTTCATGTGTTGAGACTTTGACTTCTCGTAAATATTTTGGGTGATTAAATTAGGTGGAAAAAGCAGGAGCAACTGTTCTGTTTGAGGAGATGAAGAAAACAAGCAACAATGTTGGGGTTGTGGTGAGCCCAGTTCGTCTTAGTACCCTTACTGAGTTCGGGACTCCTGAATTTGTTGCTGACAAGCTTATCCAAGCGGAAAAGCGCAAGGTACATGTGGAATCTGGGATTGCGTTTGTTCACATGGTGGCGTTTGTGTAATGCTGCTCGAGTGCAGATTTAGCTTTCCATATCTCATGGGTGCCATTATTGGTAGCTTAATGTAGTGCAGGTGTTCTTAAATTTTGGGCATAGAAACCGGAAATGTTGTTGTTTGGTATCTGTTTGCATTGTCAAGTTTGTGTAGTTAAACCAATCTAATATGGCTCTACAGGAGAGTACAAAGGAGGCAGAGGTAATTTGGGCGAAGGAACGATCTGGACGTGGAGGCCTACCAGTGTATGAATTTGAGTATAGAGTTGACAGTACGAGAGGAGGGATTAAGAGGATCTTCACGGCTGCATTTGTTTCCTCTAAGAAGCTTTACCTCTTAAATATTGTCCATTCCGACAACCCGGAGAATCCACTTGATGGTGGTACTAGGGTGATGTTGGAAGAAGTTCTTCATTCATTTGACATTGCAACTGTTACATGACTTTGTATTTTCCATCATTGAACCAGAATCTCTTAGCAATGCATTCTTTGGATTCGTTCTTGGTATTCACATTGAGATTGGTTCCTAACTTATATTGTTAAGGAATAATTTATGTTTCTCTTACTAATGAATTTTGTCAATTCAACTTACAGAAAGGAATTCAAGTGATTTATTTTTCTCCTGTTGCTCTGGAGAAGTACATTTTTATTTTTTACCATTAAAATACGACTTTGGGAACACAGGAAGGTAGGAATAACCAGACAGCTCCCTGTTACGATTTGTTTAATCCTCGAAACCTCCTTTTGCTAGACCAAGGTTTGCAGTTACATGGCTGTATGCGCAAGGAAGCGGCAGGGCATTTCCATGATGGGTCAAGGAGAGGATGGCACAGGACTGTTCATCTCTTTTTAATCTTTCCAAGGTAAGCTTTACAGGGCACTCTGGTCATCCCCTAATCATTTGATATACCAAAATGTGCATGTAACGTATCCACCACAAGTAAAGTTCAACAAAATCAAACAACTTATCCAGTATATGCCAGTTTCTTCGGCAGTTTTTGGGCTACTTATTTGTTTCCAAATTTGAAACTATTCCTTCATTGTAGTTGACGGATTCCTTTCATTGTACTGGTGATCATATTTCTATAAATGCTTGATTTTGATCCATATTCCATGCTTGTTTTTCTTAATTGAGTTTCCGAGTCACTGTTGAAAGAATAAGAGGAAACATTTGTCTGTGTCCTTAGTTCCATTAACGGAATGCGGGAATAGGATAAAGGATCTGAAGTGCTAATCCTGGTTTTGCAGTATATCCCTTTTTCCTACAATAATTGGACACTGCACTTCTTTGCACATCAAAACATTTTGCCTTCTATTTTATCTTCCTAACTTCGACTTCAATTGGATGTCGATCTGTTCATGAAAATGGTGGGTGCGCAGCTGGAGACAGACACGTATGTTCACCTAAAACATAATAAGAGTTCCCCACACTGAACTGAGTCTCAAATCACCATGTTTACTGTTTTGCATGGAAACTATCCCTCAGATTCATTCTTGTACCTATAAATTTAAACTATCCCTCAGATTCATTCTTATTATTTCCTAAGTTAGTGAATGAACATTTTCCGGGTAAATTGCAAGGTTGGTCACTGAAAGTGCTAAAATATTCATGTTTAGTCACTAAAAAAATTTTATTCCATTCGTGGTCACGGAAAGTGGTTAACGTTTCACGATTGGTCACTCTCCGTTAGTTTCCATTAACACCGTTAGTGGTTTGCTGACGTGGCAACCAAAAATGCTGATTCCATCTTCGATTTGTTCGTTGACGATCTATGTTCCCGAATAGAAGCAGCAACTCCGCCGCGTTTGGGAGTGGCTCGGTTTTGGGGTTTCACCGTGTTCTGGGTTTGGGAGTACCTAGGTTTGGGAGTAAAGATGAGAGGAGGCAAGGGCGATCAACTTTGAGGAAGAGCTGGTCACTAGAAGCATCGGCAATCAAAGCTACTATTCAAGGTCTGGCAGAGATGGGTTGACGATGGTATTGTTTAATCCCTTTGGATGATTGATGGCGACGGTGGGGATTAGAGGTTGATGGCGGCCAAGAAGAAGGGACTAAGAAGATGGGTCAAAATGGGGTTTTCATTTGGGCCAATTTAGTTTTAGGTCGGGCGGGTCAATAAGGAGGGTTGGGTCATGGGTTGGGTTGGGTAATCTAACAAGGCTAGTAAAACTGACGTGGCATATCCGGTTTTATGATGTGGCAGGTCAAAATTGGATGAATCAGCATTTCTAGTTGCCACGTCAGCAAACCACTAACGGTGTTAATAAAAACTAACGGAGAGTGACCAATCGTGAAACGTTAACCACTTTCAGTGACCATGAATAGAATAAAATTCTTTTAGTGATCAAACGTGAATATTTTAGCACTTTCAGTGACCAACCTTGCAATTTACCCAACATTTTCCTCATTTGATTGCATGACCTGGTGAAATGTATGGAACAGACTACTGGTTCTCGTTATTTCTGGGCTTCTCATTTGGCTGGCCCTAGATAGGGATCTTTTCCATCCTGGTGTTGTGCTTTGCTCGACACCGTAGAACTTGTTGCGGGCACAGGTACTCATGTAAAGTAAACCTGATTTCTGTAAGGGCTGTGGTTCTTGTTGTGAGAAGAATGCTAGGAGATTATTCCGAACACAGTGTTGATTTTTGGGGAGTGATTTTGACAGGCATGCTCAGGGTCAGAAACGCTGCAGAGTATCATGTTATTACGGACAGGAACAAACAAAGTTGGAGGATACTTCACTCCTAAATGGCTGTTTCTGGGCATATACGTAGGTGTTACTCTTACATGGGCTTTCCCCAACACTTTTGCCTTGGAAGTCATTGCCTTTATTGACATCATTTCCATATGGTGGCAGGTAAGTACTAATTCATTTGAATCTGTAATCCGATGTGAAAAAACAGCCGGTTCAGTTCTGTTTGATTCGATTTATGTCGCTAGAAGCAGTTAATTGTGCCTTTTGTGCTATTAACGACAGGTAATTGGAGGATTTGTAATTGTTATACTACTTCCATTGGTGGAAACAACCACACGATCTGCTTCCTATGTGTTTACGCATTTAGAAGTGGGATCAGCAATTCTATCCAGCATTGTATGGGATTATATTTGGCTGACACGTTCAGCATCCAGGTACATGGTTTTCGAAGGATCGGCTTTTCTTCTCTGGATATTGTTGTGTAAATATTAACCATGTAAGCACTAATAATGCCCCTTACTGCTCATTAGGAATTCAGCTACTTGTATGATACGAGTAATGAGACTGCGGGAACATTTGTACCAGCTCAAATATACAGGAGTAATTCCGTGTAGTATTTCATCTTCAGGAACTCTACAGGAGTAATTGTGCTGTTGTTCGTGATTTGGGGTCCATTCTTCTTCGGTGGCCTCTCAGTAACTGGGTGCAGCTAGCTAGAGTGATAGTAGCCTTTCATCTTCATACCATATCTGCGTAGGAGGAAGCGTTTGAGTCATGATTGGGTTTTTTAACCTCTTGGGTGTCTATTTATTGAATCCTTATCTTGACCACCCTAGGTGTTTGCTTTATCAAGAGACTGAGGTATCCCATTCTCGTCCATATGTCGTCAAATCCATCCAAAGCACAAAGTTCCCTCAAACACGGTGTGGCTCTGCGCAGGGATCTGCATTCTTCCCGGGCTCCTGATACTGAAAGCGAACGCTTGTATTCACGGCCATAACTTCAAGTGCACGATCGGGTGGGTTGGTAGATATGCAGTCCCAATATTTGCAAGAATGGTGATGGATGAGGAGAACTTCAAAGCAGGGCCATTCTACTTGGGGAAAGCCAGAAGACCCAGTTGCTTCATTGCCTTCACCTGGATTTGCTATACTTGCTGATTGTTCCTGTTGGGACAGTTTCAACTATGTTCCAGTGGCATTATGTTAGAAACACGTTTTCTAAGGAAAACGAGTTTCTATATTATCATTATTATTAGGTTTTATTAAATATAGTTAGTAGTCTTTTAGCAGAATTAGGTTTAGTATTAGGTTTTCACATCTTTCGTTATAAATATGTACTTTGTGTTTTATTCAGAATCAAGCAAGAACAATTATTCAGAAAGTATCTCAAACCCTAATCTCTCTCAATTTCGTCACCTATCCCTAGGCCGTCGGCCATTCTTCCCCTCAATCCTCAATTTCCTCTTCTAAATCCCTAATTCCCAATTCTGTTCTTCCCCAATTCTATCTCAATCCCTAAATATTTATCAATTCCCAATCTCATCAATCCGACCGTTAGAACCCTAGAATTAGGTTTCTAACATTTGGTATCAGAGCCCGGTTCGAGAATTGAGTTCACCACAACTCTCAACCGGGGACGAGTTCTACAACTGGTTCGACGATGAGCTCTTCAAAGCTCTCAAACCTGTCGTGGGCAGAGCTACATGACCGGGCTCGCCGCATCGGACGCCGTTGGCGCTCCGAAGAGTCGCCGACCGTGCAAGCAGAGACGGTGACCCTAGAAACCCTGTCATGGGCAGAGCTGCGTGACCGGGCTCGCCGCATCGGACGTCGTTGGCTGTCCGAAGAGTGGCCGACCGCGCAAATAGAAGACGGTGGTGGAGCAGTGCGAGTCTGCAAAAGAGGGCGCGAGGTCGCGACAGCGTTTCAGCCGAGCGGAACAGCGGCAGCTCTGTCGGGAGGCACAGTGATGCCGGGAAGAGCTGTGACATCGATGCCCGGGCAGCAAACAGAAGCAGCACCTGTGTTCAAAGGCGAGGAGGCGGCACGACTGCTAGCCGACATGACGACGGATGGCAAAACCCTCTGCTCGACACTGGAAAGGAAGGCCACGATGGAGAAGCCCCCGTGGAATGACGAGGCAAAGGAATCGACCGGCGAGGAGGGTGATCTGCCGTGCCGTCGGAGCTAAGATCGCCGACGGTTTCTCTGCACTCCGCTGCCGGGACTGCAATGGCGTTTGTCACCACCACCACCACTGCCGCATTCTTGGAGGAACCGGAGAAGGAAGATGGTGGGCAGTCATTAGGCTATGGCTACGACGCTAGCCACGTGGATAAGGAAGAAGTCATTGGAGTCGGAGTTGCTGGCGTGAGATACGTTCGAGTAGTGGAGCACGATTGGAAGAAAAGAAAGCGCAAGAATGGAGGAGGCAAGACGTGGATTGCACGGTAGACTTGAAGAAATGGGTCAAGCTGATCAACCTTGAGGGCAAGGTTGGTCTCTAGGGGGATGGGATGTTAGAAACACGTTTTCTAAGGAAAACGAGTTTCTATATTATCATTATTATTAGGTTTTATTAAATATGGTTAGTAGTCTTTTAGCAGAATTAGGTTTAGTATTAGGTTTTCACATCTTTCGTTATAAATATGTACTTTGTGTTTTATTCAGAATCAAGCAAGAACAATTATTCAGAAAGTATCTCAAACCCTAATCTCTCTCAATTTCGTCACCTATCCCTAGGCCGTCGGCCATTCTTCCCCTCAATCCTCAATTTCCTCTTCTAAATCCCTAATTCCCAATTCTGTTCTTCCCCAATTCTATCTCAATCCCTAAATATTTATCAATTCCCAATCTCATCAATCCGACCGTTAGAACCCTAGAATTAGGTTTCTAACATTTGGTATCAGAGCCCGGTTCGAGAATTGAGTTCACCACAACTCTCAACCGGGGACGAGTTCTACAACTGGTTCGACGATGAGCTCTTCAAAGCTCTCAAACCTGTCGTGGGCAGAGCTACATGACCGGGCTCGCCGCATCGGACGCCGTTGGCGCTCCGAAGAGTCGCCGACCGTGCAAGCAGAGACGGTGACCCTAGAAACCCTGTCATGGGCAGAGCTGCGTGACCGGGCTCGCCGCATCGGACGTCGTTGGCTTTCCGAAGAGTGGCCGACCGCGCAAATAGAAGACGGTGGTGGAGCAGTGCGAGTCTGCAAAAGAGGGCGCGAGGTCGCGACAGCGTTTCAGCCGAGCGGAACAGCGGCAGCTCTGTCGGGAGGCACAGTGATGCCGGGAAGAGCTGTGACATCGATGCCCGGGCAGCAAACAAAAGCAGCACCTGTGTTCAAAGGCGAGGAGGCGGCACGACTGCTAGCCGACATGACGACGGATGGCAAAACCCTCTGCTCGACACTGGAAAGGAAGGCCACGATGGAGAAGCCCCCGTGGAATGACGAGGCAAAGGAATCGACCGGCGAGGAGGGTGATCTGCCGTGCCGTCGGGCGAGATTTTCGTCGTCGGAGCTAAGATCGCCGACGGTTTCTCTGCACTCCGCTGCCGGGACTGCAATGGCGTTTGTCACCACCACCACCACTGCCGCATTCTTGGAGGAACCGGAGAAGGAAGATGGTGGGCAGTCATTAGGCTATGGCTACGACGCTAGCCACGTGGATAAGGAAGAAGTCATTGGAGTCGGAGTTGCTGGCGTGAGATACGTTCGAGTAGTGGAGCACGATTGGAAGAAAAGAAAGCGCAAGAATGGAGGAGGCAAGACGTGGATTGCACGGTAGACTTGAAGAAATGGGTCAAGCTGATCAACCTTGAGGGCAAGGTTGGTCTCTAGGGGGATGGGATGTTAGAAACACGTTTTCTAAGGAAAACGAGTTTCTATATTATCATTATTATTAGGTTTTATTAAATATGGTTAGTAGTCTTTTAGCAGAATTAGGTTTAGTATTAGGTTTTCACATCTTTCGTTATAAATATGTACTTTGTGTTTTATTCAGAATCAAGCAAGAACAATTATTCAGAAAGTATCTCAAACCCTAATCTCTCTCAATTTCGTCACCTATCCCTAGGCCGTCGGCCATTCTTCCCCTCAATCCTCAATTTCCTCTTCTAAATCCCTAATTCCCAATTCTGTTCTTCCCCAATTCTATCTCAATCCCTAAATATTTATCAATTCCCAATCTCATCAATCCGACCGTTAGAACCCTAGAATTAGGTTTCTAACATTTGGTATCAGAGCCCGGTTCGAGAATTGAGTTCACCACAACTCTCAACCGGGGACGAGTTCTACAACTGGTTCGACGATGAGCTCTTCAAAGCTCTCAAACCTGTCGTGGGCAGAGCTACATGACCGGGCTCGCCGCATCGGACGCCGTTGGCGCTCCGAAGAGTCGCCGACCGTGCAAGCAGAGACGGTGACCCTAGAAACCCTGTCATGGGCAGAGCTGCGTGACCGGGCTCGCCGCATCGGACGTCGTTGGCTTTCCGAAGAGTGGCCGACCGCGCAAATAGAAGACGGTGGTGGAGCAGTGCGAGTCTGCAAAAGAGGGCGCGAGGTCGCGACAGCGTTTCAGCCGAGCGGAACAGCGGCAGCTCTGTCGGGAGGCACAGTGATGCCGGGAAGAGCTGTGACATCGATGCCCGGGCAGCAAACAGAAGCAGCACCTGTGTTCAAAGGCGAGGAGGCGGCACGACTGCTAGCCGACATGACGACGGATGGCAAAACCCTCTGCTCGACACTGGAAAGGAAGGCCACGATGGAGAAGCCCCCGTGGAATGACGAGGCAAAGGAATCGACCGGCGAGGAGGGTGATCTGCCGTGCCGTCGGGCGAGATTTTCGTCGTCGGAGCTAAGATCGCCGACGGTTTCTCTGCACTCCGCTGCCGGGACTGCAATGGCGTTTGTCACCACCACCACCACTGCCGCATTCTTGGAGGAACCGGAGAAGGAAGATGGTGGGCAGTCATTAGGCTATGGCTACGACGCTAGCCACGTGGATAAGGAAGAAGTCATTGGAGTCGGAGTTGCTGGCGTGAGATACGTTCGAGTAGTGGAGCACGATTGGAAGAAAAGAAAGCGCAAGAATGGAGGAGGCAAGACGTGGATTGCACGGTAGACTTGAAGAAATGGGTCAAGCTGATCAACCTTGAGGGCAAGGTTGGTCTCTAGGGGGATGGGATGTTAGAAACACGTTTTCTAAGGAAAACGAGTTTCTATATTATCATTATTATTAGGTTTTATTAAATATGGTTAGTAGTCTTTTAGCAGAATTAGGTTTAGTATTAGGTTTTCACATCTTTCGTTATAAATATGTACTTTGTGTTTTATTCAGAATCAAGCAAGAACAATTATTCAGAAAGTATCTCAAACCCTAATCTCTCTCAATTTCGTCACCTATCCCTAGGCCGTCGGCCATTCTTCCCCTCAATCCTCAATTTCCTCTTCTAAATCCCTAATTCCCAATTCTGTTCTTCCCCAATTCTATCTCAATCCCTAAATATTTATCAATTCCCAATCTCATCAATCCGACCGTTAGAACCCTAGAATTAGGTTTCTAACACATTAGGATTTGGTATAGGTTTAATAATGCTGTGGTGGGCGTTGGATGCTAGGAAATGGTGTTGAAAGGGCCTGTTAGGAATCTTGATGTCCCCAATTGGTAAGGTTTGAATTTTGACTGTCAACCTCAAACATAATAATGTTCTCTGTATAGTGTATATTATACAATTGATCCAAAGGCCGTGATTTAATATATTCTCTCTGATGCTACGAGAATGTTTAGGCACAT